CGGCGCGCGGCGCCACGCCCCCGGGGCGGGGCGTCCCGGCTCCCAGGACAAGTCGACCGCACCCTCTTAAAGAACCCCCCACTTTGTCTCTACCTGGAACTCCGTTCCCCCAAACTGAGACACGCCAGCCCGAATTCTCCCTCCTCTCCGATGTCCGTGCTCCTTCCTGTTTCCTTGTAGGGATGGGATGCAGAAGGCGCTAAAGGCACACTTCTTGACTTAAATGTTCCTGGCATTACACAACTCTACTAAGCTTACTTACCTGGTTCCTAAGCCCACAGACTGGATGTAGCAAATTGGGGAATTGGTGAAATGTGACTGCGGGAGCCTGCACCACGCACCTATTACCTGTTTGCGGTGTGCCAAGGTGACACCTTTGGGCCATCAAGGAGAGGTAAAGTGGACACATCACCTGGATTTTGGAGGGTGGATTCTGGCAGGCTGCACCCTCCAAGCCAGATCTTCTTTGGCGCCTAGATGATTATTTTGTACTCCTGATTATGTGCTAATTAGTGCTCCTCCCATAAGGGAGTCTGAGTTAAGTTCCAAATAAGGGTGCCACTAGGGTCAGAAGGCAATGAATTGTCAGCTCTGAATGACAAGAGGTGATCTCAGCTGTAGTTAGGTTTCCTGAGCTTCTTGAGTGTGAAAAGCATGTTAAAATTGTGTGCAGTCAAAAGGCTCTGAGGGGCGAGTCTAAACCTTGAACTTCCTGTTTCACAGAAACAGATCTGGACTCAAGTTGTCTCTACTTAGCTGCTTGATCTTAAGCAGTCGTAAATTTGATCTCAGCAAATTACATTTCTCTAGGCTTCAGTTTACTCATCTGTCAAAGGAGATATTAATACCTACCCCATTTGGGTTGCTGTGAGGATTAAATACACACTGACATACTTAGAATGGTGTCTGGCAATAGTAAGCTCTCAGTACGTATTAGCCCTTTCCTCAATCAGTCATATTCCTGGGCAAGGTATTTTAACAAGTCACAGCTTTGGAAGTGGCCGCCATTTACAGAAAATTGTGAGATCGTGGCCTCCTGGAGTTGTGTAGCACAATGCTGGCTGGCCTCTGCTCATTTTTTCATAACCTCAAAGCTATCCTAAATAAATTTCAAATCATTCCCCTAAGACACACTGTCCATTCCCATCAAACCAAATGAAAAAGAAAACTTCCCAAGAAACAATGAAATACACATTATTTTCTCTTTTTGTCCCTATAAGTTTTCTTAAGATTTTCGGTACATTAATTTCCTATCAAGAACACTTGGGTAGCCCAGCTGGTGCGGCTCATTGGCTGAGCGTGGTCCCATGCGCCAAGAAATCACCGGTTACATTCCTGGATAGGACACACGCCCAGGTTGGGGGCTTGATCTCCAAGTCTGAGCAAGCAGGAGGTAGCCAATTGATGTTTCCCTCTCATCAATTTCTATCTCTTTCTCCTTTTCCCTTTCTCTCTCTTAAAACAAAACAAAACAAAACACTCGGGTAATAAATATTAAACAAAAGGTATTCCTTTGGGGGAAAATCATGAAACAACTTTTTACTATGAAATTGGATCTGAATTTAGACTAGTAAAATTATGCTTCTTGTAGTTATAAAATTAATCCCAGTCCAAAGAACGACTAACAAACTATTAGTATCCTGTGGACAGGTTACTGCGTAAACTGCAACAAAGTAAAGGTATTAGTGGTATTCAAACTCACAATATACTTTAGTTTACACCTATACTTAACTCACTCAGAGTTAATTTCAAATATAAAGTTCAGCCCATTAATAACTTGATATGTCCTGTTGAAGTTTTCACTTTTTTCCTAATTCTGAAAGTACTTCTATACATTCTGAAATGGCATTTCAGTAGATACACAAAAGGTGGCAAATCAGAACCAATTTCTTATTTCAAGGTTAAACTAATACTAAAACATGCTACTATCCAAACATCTTTATGAAAATTAACTACTGAGAGTTGGTAGTTCTCTGAAACTTGTGTAAATTTTATTTATTACTAAAATTGAAAACACCTTAAAGTTAAGACCCAAACCCTCTAGAAAAAATCTCTAAGGGCATCCAATCCCTTTGGTTGAAACTAGGTAACAAAAGAGGCAAAAGACATGGTTTGTGATGAATCCTAAAATTCAAATACTAGTGTTTTCAAGCTTTAATAAAGTATATTCCAATTCCAAGTACCAAGTATGATATCAAAATTCAAATTCACCGATGTACTCTTAAATAAGCATCAAAATACAAGTTTTGTTCACTGAGTCCTATTTTCCTTTTGATTTGCACAATGCATTCAGAGATGAGTTATAATTAGGAAAAAAGTGTCTACTGAATGCATCATGTTTAAAATGCAATTAACAGTTCAAAACCAATCATACTTAAAAGGGCAAACACCTAAAAAGTTAACTTGAGGCATAAAATTATCTGAGGCAGTATTATCCTGTAGATAAAAATACATTTGTTGTATATACATGTAGCTTTCTACATGAAAGAAAGGATTCCGCTCCAAACAGAAAAGGACTGGCCCTTGATAAAGACATGTTAGACTGACAGACAGATGTGATGACCACCGCAAGGAGAACTGGAAATGGAAGGATAAAAGGTAAGTTAAAGGAAGGGTAAAAGTTTAGTCACCTGCTCCTGAATAGTGGCAGAGTTGGGCAAGAAGCAGGAGATAAAGGCAGAGTAAGACATAGAAGAAAGGTAAAGAAGGCCTCAACGCTGACCAGAAAGGAATACAGACAGAATCAAGCCAAGTTGAGGACAGATATGCTATAGCTGCAGTGAGATGCTTGAAATTAGAATTTGGTAGTTGACAGTTACAGAAGCGCAATTGAGTCATCTAAAATGGAATTAGACAAGGCATCTGCAATTTCGTGGAGAACCAACATTACAGTGACAAGATAACTCAGCATGATGTCATTCATAAAACTTCCCCCAAAAGCATCAAGTCACCAGAAGACCTTTGCTTCCGACGACATTCTTTCAAGCTTATCAAAGTCCCTGACTGACTGGGAGAGACAACGCAGTGCCCCCAAAGGAAACTGCTGAGATGTGATCTTAGGTTCTTCAAAGTGAGGAGACTGGACCATGTTTCTTCCAAGCAAAACATTTTATCGTTTTGTAGACAATGAATCAAACAGGATTGTTTAGAATAACCCCAACTTTGGTGGGGAAATTAAGCAAGATAAGGAACCCCCGCAGAAATTTTATGCAAAGGCAGAGCATTCAAATTCTGTCTCCTAATTAATGCTGTGTGCAGAAGTCTCCTGTAAAAGAAAGTTGCCTAACAGAAGTTACCACATCCTCAACAGACCAGAATATTGCCGTATGTGAGAGCCTTGATTAATATGGAGTACTCACTGTCTCTTCTCAAAGACTGGGTTCTTGCTTTTACCAGAATCCTAAACTGAAAGACAGTCAAGGGGCTAAGTGTTCACCACCAGTCAATGTAGGAATGCTTGAAGAAAATAAACTTGAAACAAAGAAGTAGATGTTTTTGGTCACATTTTAGACACGTATTATTAGAAATTTGTTACTGGCCCCACCAGGTTAAAGATGAAGGGAGGCCCTGCGAAGTCTATAGAGCTGATATATACACACAAGTGAGTGTCACTGGTTTTGTTTTTTTAAACCTCTAGTTTTATTAAATATTGCTTCTTTGGGATGTTTTCTTTTTTATAACAACTCCCAGAACATATTCATGTAAGGATTCAAGTGGTCATATTAAAATACAGCTTCATATAAAGTTTATCACAGTTTTACAGTATTCAAAACAACAGACCTGCCTTATAAAAACAAAACAAAAACCAAAAAAGGACTATTACACCCAAAACATAGAAAAACAATTAAATAAACAAGTTTGGCATTTCTGTAATTTTATAGTATAAAACAGAATATTAAGTCTAAGATTGGCAAGCGAGACACTGATGTATTTACCTACTTTGAAACGTGTCCCATTTAAACACACTTTACAAGTTCACTATACAAAAGATTGATGGTTTGATGAATGAAGTGCACCCTGAAAATTTTTGCGAATATTTAGCTCAAAGTAAAAAAAAAAAAAAAAAAGTCCTTTTCCTTTTTTAAACTGAAGGCTGAATTCAGACTTTTTTTTGTTGTTTTGTCTCATTTGTCAGCCTTCCTGGTTTAAAAACAATAGTGTCTATGGACGCCCACCAGGGGGCAGTGTAAGATTAGCCATTAAATCACGAACAGCTGCAAATATTGTGCATTCACCTGCAACAGAGAAAAATGGTCATTAGCTATTCGCAATACAGGAAAGACGATGTCAACACACCGGTGGGGTAGGGGCATTTAAATCTAAAATTAGCAAGAACTTTAAGGATCCAAATAAAAGAGTAAATTTTAACTGCACAGGTTACAGGGGATTAAACTTTGGTGTTGAGTATCAGATAATGATTTCATTTGGGTTTTGTTTTTTCTTATGAGGAAATGTTGGGCAAGCCCCATCTAGGTTTGAATTTAAGAAGATGCCAAGAGTTTATAGAAACACTGGATATGGAGCACTGGGTAAACCTTTGAAGTTGGACTTCAAGGCTACTGACAACTGGCCTATCTTATGTATTTTGAATGTAATGAAAAGACCTACAGGCCGGCCAGCGTGGCTCAGTAGTTGAGCGTTGACCTATGAACCAGGAGGTCAGGGTTCAATTCACGGTCAGGGCACAGGCCCCGGTTGTGGGCTTGGTCCCCATGTGGGGTGTGCAGGAGGCAGCGAATCAATGACTCTCTCTCATCACTGATGTTTCTAGCTCTCTCTTCTCCCTTCCTCTCTGAAATCAATAAAAATATATATTCTTTAAAAAGGTCAGGTAAAATATCTATGAAAGCACTGTCCAATAGAACTTTCTGTGAAGATGAAAATATTCTATATGCGCACTGTGGCTACCAAGCACTTGTAATGTAGTTAGGGTGACTGAGGAACGGAATTTTAAATTACATTAAAATTAAAATTACATTAAAAGCCACATGCAGTCAGTGACAGTTATATTGGACAGTAGAGTTCTATGACATCTATTGGACTTTTCTCCCAAATTTGAAGGAAATGATCAACTTCTTGAGTTCAGCATTAAAATCAATAAATACAAAAATAAAGTGGTTTTTCTTAAAAGCACTTCCACCTCCATGGGGAGGAAGTGATGGGTTTGGCAGGTGGGGAGGGAGGCTGAATGTGGCCCACCACCAATCCCAAAGCAAGACACGTTTGGGGGAGGCTAACGATTCATCCTCTCAGTGTCCCCTTTGCTTGAAGAAACCAAACACCCTGCCTCTTCCTTCCTGTAAATATTACAAATATTTCAATATAGTAAACCAAGACCAGCTGTTAATATTATAAACCAGCACAGCCTAACACTACAGTGGCTGAAATGAGAACTGAAGACAATTGAATAATGGCCTTCCACCAGAGGGCAGAGTGCAGTGACCCTGTGCAAGTCACTGCACCCTTCTCATCTACCACTGGAAAATGAAGGTACAGAAAGAAAATGAAAGGTATAACCTGTCTAAGGTAGACATAAAAGAAAAACAATTTCAAAATATCCCAGCCATTTATTAATTCAAAGAAGTTACATCTTTTTCTAAAAACACATTTTCATTATTGACAGGTAGAAACGCTTGCTTGATCGCAATAGGATCAAAACATTCTTTCCTTTCAATTTTAAATTCCACAAGACATACTGATAGTTAACTGCTTCTGAGAGAATGGTGTTTATTATCAGAGTTCTAGTGGAATACTACTTTGCAAATTCTGTTAGCTTTAAACTCTGAGTCTTAAGGACCTATTCTTTAGCTGAAAGAGGAAAGAAGTCAAAGGATGAAAGCAGAAAATTATAAGAAGTGGAAGAAGTATTACAACAAAAGAAGCATACCCTTCTCTACTGCCCAGTGCATTTTTTATAAACTATACTAGAGTGAGAACTTGCCCTTGTATACAATATGGGGAAACAAACAGCTAAAAATAAATAATTTCTCCCGTGACTCCTATTACTAGTAAAATTTTCACACTGCGGTACATAAAAATGTTTCAGAGAACGACTTCCCCTCATTTAAAAACGTAATTCTGTTATCATACTATTCTCAACAGAAAGATGGCAGACTTCCTTAGTATTGGAAATAAGCAAAACGGAAGAAAGTTCTCTTTGCTGAGGTTTGTTTTGCAACCCAGGATTTGGCACTGCCAGGAGTTGTGTGTTAAGCGTAGGCTACAACAGTATTGACCGGACCTTGGTTCTCTTGTCAGAACATTCTGGTTTCCTTGACGGTGCTCACTGTGAGAGCTTCATTGTGCACTTGGTGAACAGGTTCACTTGCACCCGCCTGAACTCATATAAGGAGCCCAAAAAGCAGTGATGCCATTTGTATCAGCTTTTATTCTTCACAAAACATTGAGAAGATACAGAACTTTGAATGATATTATTCTCTTCATGACTGAACCATGAAATATGAGAAACCAACATGCAGTTCAACTTGGTGATGTACAGAGTGGCGGGTATCGATGGGAGGGCAGGAATTTACATTCACGGAAAATTCTATCATCCTAACCTAGGGCATTGTGGCCATGTGTGCCATAAATACAAGCTTCTGGCATTAGCAACTGGGTCAGTCCCAATAGCAGATCACTAACGAAAATGAAGTCCAGGCAGCAGAGACATGGACAAAAACAAAGAACCAGTGAGAACAGAAGAAAGCGACAGGCAGACACTGAGAGGCCACAGCGACCGGAGCTCACTGGGCTGAGGCGGGAAAGGAGGAAGCAGCGGGGAGAAGGGGAGATCTCTCAAAAGAACTTACAACACATACGCAATAAAGATCATCTACTGGTCATGTACCTTGTCGCGGTGGGTTCATCTCTGCAAACCTCTTCAGAATGTTGCTGACCATCATGGGAGCAGCAACAGAAGAGTTCTGCTGCCTGGGAATGTCTGCCTGCTGGGTTGTACCTGAAGCCATGTCATAAATGATGGGAACTATTATACTAACAGGTTCTTGGGGAGGGACCGATGTCTTCTGAGTTAGTTGAAGCTGTAGACACAAAACACATACAAAGAGAATGAAAACACAGTAAGAACAAAAACATTTGACGAAAATTTATCAAAGGTACTATCATTTACTGTCAGATTCAGATACGTGAAGCAAAGAAAATGAAATGATTAACATGCAACTGTCCCACAATGATCTAGTTCAATAACTTTCTGTTATTACTCAAGGAACCAGGGTCACATGAAGTCTAAGCTGACGAGGAATCTGGACCTATATTTGGCAGCGACAGATCATTTCTGCACTTATCCACAAGCTGCTGCACTATCCTCATGTGGCTCTTTCTTCTGAACAGTGGTTCTCAACCTTCCTCATGCGGGATGTATTTAGGCGCCCCCTGTGAAGGGGTCGTTCGCCCGCCAAAGGGGTCGCGACCCACAGGTTGAGAACTGCTGCTTCCGAAGCTGCGTGCACACATATGCCGGGTGGTACTTACAAAAAAGAGCATTTTGGATTTCAGCACCACAGCAGGAGTCCCAGGAGGTGCAATCGGCGGGGCGCTGGGAGGGATCGTCAGGCAAAACTGAACGTTCCACTTTAGCTGTGTTGCCTGGTCAGGAAACTGTTTTGAAAAAAAAAAATCAAAAATCAAGATAAAGTCCTATGAACATTAGGAGTCTGAAAAGTTGAGGCAGAATTTTATTTTATACTCATCAACAAAACAAAGTTGATAACCTGCATGTTTTCAAAAAATAGTTCTACATAAAGGTCCTAATTGAAAAGGCCACTACGGATTTATGTGATATGTTCCTCACCTCCCCACTCACATCACCAATTCCTGTGGATTCTGCTTCCTCAGGGCCTCTGACCCCTGTTCCCTTCTCTCTATCCTCACTGATGCCAGCCCCGGGCTTTGTTACTCCTCCCGTGGTCCCCTAATGGTCCCTTCCAGGGGCCGCTTCTCCCGTCCATCTTGATAGCGCTGCCAAGTGTTCAGGAAGGTGGTTCTATTCTAGCTCACAAATGTTCAGTGACAGGCAGTGACACATGTTGTCCCCCACCCTCTCCAAGAATCAACAGCTGGCATTCAAGGCCCTTAACTAGTGTCAACCTAGACTTCCCAGTCTCAGTTCCAATTCCTTCCCTAAAACAAACTAGTCAAACTGTGTTAATAACTTTCAATTATATCCACGGATGCTTTTGTAACCACAGAAATATTTACTCCTTTAAAAACTCAGATGGCTATCTTGTTGGCATAAATAATGTCTCCTACAGCCTATCAGAGCAGAAGCCATGCTGGCCCAATATTAAAATATCAACTGAAAAAAGAAGCGAGGTATTTGGAATTTCCCAAAGCAATACTAGAAACGTTAAAATGAAAGGACTATGGTAAGGTTGGAAAAATATAATCAGCTGCCACCTGGATATAATTGTATTAATTGTATATACATTGATATAATTGTACAGTTTCATAGAAAGGAAGAGGAATTTAAAATCTCCCAGAGGACCCTAACCGGTGTGGCTCAGTGGATAGAGCGTCGGCCTGCGGACTGAAGGGTCCCAGGTTCGATTCCTATCCAGGGCATGTACCTTGGTTGCAGGCACATCCCCAGTAGGAGGTGTGCAGGAGGCAGCTGATCGATGTTTCTCTCTCATCGATGTTTCTAACTCTCTATCCCTCTCCCTTCCTCTCTGTAAAAAGTCAATAAAATATATTTTAAAAAGTAATAATCTTTAAAAAAAAAATCTCCCAGAGGAGAGTTTTGATAAATGGTATTAAGGCAATTAGGGGCATCTGAAGAAGTTGGATCCATACCTCACACATGACACAAAGACATACTTAAAATAGACCCAAAATTTAAATAATTTAAAAAATGAGTCCATACAGTATTAGAAGAAACCATGGGAGGGTTATTTCATTATCCAGGAGTAGGAACAGAGTATTAAATATATTTGCTTTTATAAGAGATAAGCCACTGGTAACTCGGGTTGCCTGTGGGAAGGAGGTGTAGATGGCTGGATGAAAAATTTCCCACTGAATCACCTTGTTCTAAATTCAGAAGATGCAAGAGGACTGTGTTGCCTATTCAAAACATATAAAATTTAAGTGAAAAATTAAGAAGAATATAAGAGAAAATTAGAAGTGCCTAAATGGGTAAAAACCAATAAACGCTGATCCCACCAAATGCAACCTCCTCAAACAGAGCTGGCTATAAAAGTTGGTGTTTCTCTGTAACTTACCAGCTCCAGTTTCATAATATGCACACAGTCCCTGAGGATGTGTGTAGGAGCTCCTAATAGCTTGGTGAAGGCTATTAATGTATTGGCTTTAAATGGCGGTCCGGCAACCTGTAGGGATAAACAAAGCAGGTTACTCTTCATTTGGCCTTGACTCTTGTTTCGTTGACTACACTAAAATGATGTATCAATAAATACGTACTCTTGTTTCAAAGAATTTCTCTAAAACTTGAAGTTCGTCAGGCTTCCACTGCCCTGCATTCTCAGGTGTCACTTTCAGCTGAAGTGTTTGGTTGGTTTTGGGACTAAGGGCTACTCTGCATTTCAGCGCATCCGTCTTAAACATGATCACCCCAGGTTCATTGGAATTTATCAGCTGTAGCTGCAAAACAAGGATGCATCAAATTAGCATGCAAGACAATATGTAAAAAAAAAAAAAAAAAAAAAGACAGTATGTAAGACAAAGAAAAAATGAAACGTTGCCCAGGGAACTGTTTCAAAAGGAAGACAACTCAGTTGATACCTATTCCAAAACAGAGGTATCTAGGCACTGAGCACCGAAACTGCGGCCACCATTCCAGAGAGGCAATCAGACATTACATATCTCGATGGAAGAGCATTAACACCACCTATGAAATATTCTTGCAAAACAAGAACCAACTTGAGGCTGAATTCAGCAGTTAGATCAGGGGTGGACAAACTTTTTGACTTGAGGGCCACAATGGGTTCTTAAACTGGACCGGAGGGCCGGGACAAAAGCATGGATGGAGTGTTTGTGTGAACTAATATAAATCCAAAGTAAACATCATTACATAAAAGGGTTCTTTTTTTTTTTTTTTTTTAGTTTTATTCATTTCAAACGGGCCGGATCCGGCCCGCGGGCCGTAGTTTGCCCACGGCTGAGTTAGATCCACAGGATTGATCCATATTATAGATCTATAGGGGTCAAAAGAACATGTTAAATTATTCTAAAACGATGCAATCAGCAAAATCCAGACAGAAACTCTACAGGACAATGATATGGTTTCTTCAAAAAATAAAGTATGGAAGAAGAAATGGAAGGGGAACCTATAGTTTGAAAGGGACTTAAAAAAGTAGTTTGGGGCCCAGCCAGTGTGACTCAGTTGGTTAAGCATTATCCCACGCACCAAGAAGTTGACGGTTTGATTCCTAGTCAGGCACATGCCCATGTTGTGGGCTCAACCCCCAGTAGGGGGTGTGCAGCTGATTGATGTTTTCCTCTCTCATTGATGTTTCTATCTCCCTCTCCCTTCCTCTCTCTCTGAAAAAAAAAATCAAAAACATATTAAAACAAACAAACAAAACTAGTCTGGGTTCTGATTCAAACTGTGAAAAAAGTGATAACTTGGGAAAGAAATCTGGACACCAACCATATTTGATAATAAAGAAATTGTATTTGGCCGAAACCAGTTTGGCTCAGTGGATAGAGCGTCGGCCTGTGGACTAAAGGGTCCCAGGTTCGATTCCGGTCAAGGCCATGTACCTCGGTTGCGGGCACATCCCCAGTGGGAGATGTGCAGAAGGCAGCTGATGGATGTTTCTCTCTCATCGATGTTTCTAACTCTCTATCCCTCTCCCTTCCTCTCTGTAAAAAATCAATAAAATATATTTTAAAGAAAAAAAAAAGAAATTGTATTTGGATGAAATGATGTCTGGAATTTGCTATCGAACAATCTGGGGGGAACCAAAAGTGAAACAATAGTGGTATGAGTTCACTGTTGAAGCTGGGTGATGAGGAAAGACAGGTTCATTATCCAATTGTCTCTACTTTTTACAAGCTTAAAATTTTCCACAATAACAACAGAACTGGCACATTAGGGGGAAATAGATCCGGATTGGGGCCTTTTGCTAGCCCAGGGGCTAGTAAATATTTTAGGCTATTTGGTCTCTGTTACAACCACTCAATGATGCCACTGTAGCTGAAAGCAGACGTAGACGGTATGTATTGAGTGGGAGTGGCTGTGTTCCAATGAAACTTTATTTGCAAAAATAGGTGGTGGGCAGGACTTGCCTCCAGGGCCATAGTTTACTGCCTGCTGCTCTAGACTAATATGTTGATTACACAAATGAGCACGAGTTTTAAAGAGCTAAACACTTACATGGCTTTTAAGAGGCAGAGGTGAGCCTAGATCCCAGGTCTGATGATTGCCATTTTAATGCTAATTTATTCAACTTATGTTAAAACCTGTATTTTTTTCAAATCTGAATATAAAGGCTGCAAAAGAGCGTGGTGCCATCCCTTGAGTGGACATTTTCAACATTCACCATTCTGACGACCACCCCATTAACATATGCACATCAACAATAATAATTACAAGTAACTCATGGGTACTGAAGACCAAGACATTATGCTATGAGCTTTTTATGAAATATCTCAAATTCCCACAACTGTTCTGAGTTAGGCAGATCCCATCACCTACTATCACCAGAAAGGTGAAGAACTAGCCAAGCTCATGCCAGCAGGTGGCCTGGCCTGGCCACAAACCCAGGCAGCTGGACTCTAGAGCAGGTGCTCTCAACTCTGACCCATCTCCTGCGGGCATCACCACAGAACAGGTTAGAAGGCCTTTTCGGTCAGGGTTTTAAATCAATTCAAATGCTTGTTTATTTGAAAAATAGCTTTCATCCCTGTGATCAGAAGTCATTTGATTTCAATGAAGACTCGAGTTCAAAGCCAGCCTGCCTGCCAAAGCATTCGAGGACAAGCGCTACTCATAGGCTGTTCTCTGCAAAGCCAGCTCCGGGGCACACATGTCCTATGGTATTGAGGAGACCTACCTCCAGGTCCACGTGAGCCACAGGAGGGCAAATGATAAAATGAAGGAAAATGTTAGAATGGAAAAGAAAACAGTGCAAAGTGTAACTCTAACAAGCTAGTTAAAGGAGGGGAGGGAATACCACTTTAGTTCCGATCCTATTCTGAGAGGAACTGGGCATCTGCCTTGGACACCCCCACTTATGAGTTAGTTCACTAGGTGGCCATACCGTTTCCTGTTGGATAATTCTTTGAAGGTGTCTTCTCATGATGACCGATCCAAGGAATCTTTCAAGCGGAGAACAAAGGTAACTACCAGCCAGGCCAGGCACGAGGCCTGGCGTCGGAGAGGGCAGCAGTAAAACGTTCAAGGCACTGTGAGTGAGGATGGTGGGTATGGAGGCTGCCCAGGAGCGCTGAGGTAGTTTGCGAGGTGGGGGCATATTTGTTGGCATCGTTTGAGAACCTTTTGGGAAGGAAAAAGCCATTTCACTTATAAAGACATATTATCTCATTGCTCCCTGCTTTGTTTTTGGTACAGATCTTCGCTAGTCTATAGCAACCTGTACTGTTTAATTACTCCTTGTAGTGCAGCAAACATATATAAGCTTCCTGTTAGCAAAAATGGCCACGGCTCTTCCTGTGGCCAGGTCCCTTGCAATGAGACTTTGCAGCAACCCCATCAAGAAGTGGTCTGTTGCTCTACCTGGATTCTGGGTTGGCTCTGTGACTTGCTGTGGCCATCAGGATGCAGTGGAAGTGAGGCCGTGCTGGTTGCAAGCCTAGGCTTTCACTCATTCTCTTGGAGCTCCCTGTCCAGCCACCAGGTAAACAAGCCATGATCAATTATGAGACCATATGGAACAGCGAGACGCCATGTCGCTGGGGTTACCTTAAATCAGCTAAGCCCAGCCAACCCAGGAGCTGACTACAGATGCATGAGCGAGCCCAGCAGAGCCTGGGAGAGCTACCCAGCTGGCCTCAGCCCAAACTGCCACACTGCAGAATGGTGAGCAAATAGGACTGTTGTTTTAAGCCACTCAAAGTTGCGTAGCAAAAGCTAGCTACCATGCCCTAATCGGTTTGGCTCAGTGGATAGAGCTTCGGCCTGCGGACTGAAGGGTCCCAGGTTTGATTCCAGTCAAGGACGTGTACCTTGGAATCAATAAAATATATATTTTTTTAAAAAGCTAGCTAGCATATTTGTACAATTCTTCTCTTCTGGTTTACATTGCATAACCCTGTCAGATGCCTTCAGGGATCTTTTTAAGGCCTAGTATTGTAGCTAAGTTAGCAGTCATAACAGAGGCACTGGGGTCTCAACTCAAAAAACTTCTGGAAGAGACATTTCCCTTTCTTACATTATGTCTGACTTCGGCAGTGAACTATTATTACCACCGATTTACTAAATGGACAAGTTAAAGTTAATAAGTAACCCCATTCAACAAGTAGGTCACGATCTTCAAATGTGAGGATGGAATAAAGTAGGTCATTCGCTGGTTATACTAAAAGCCGACATAAACATGTTGGTTACACTCACTTGTTCCAGCTCGAGGGGAATGAGAAGCGTCTGGAACTGGAGAGTGTAGTGATGGGTTGGCTGGGGACATCCCAGGTAACCGTGTTGCTGGCGAGGGGCCAGACACTTGAGGAGACCCTGGCCAGTTCCCTGCTCGTCCACTTGGTGACACCATCGTATACGGAGAACTGGGGTCCAGGGCTCCTGCAAGCAAGTAAACAAATGGTTTTCAAAGTCTGCATCTTAATAACTGAAAAGTATTCGACAACATTTAAATGGTCGCACTTTACATGGTGATAATTTTATTTTCTTTCAGGATAGTATTTCACTGAAGCATGATGCTTCTTAACACGACATGTCTGAATATTCTCTATAGTTCATGTACTTTTTAATGATATAAAAATTAGAAGAAAAAAAAGACGGAGAAAGACTAAAAATTTACCTTCCCGCGAACTTCAAGATGTGGAATACATAACAATTTATATCACAGAACAATCTTCTATGGGTTTGAAAATATTAAGCAAAAAAATCTCAAAGCTCCGTTAAGAAAAGAAATCTTACATTTTTAAACTAACTCTGACAAATTATGTTTTCATTCTACTCAGAGGAGGTTGAGGAGAGGGAAATTTTCCATTTTCTTTATTTAGTAAAGGTGACATGGACTAAGAAATGAACCACAGAATAATGTTTTGAAAGCAGCAACTTCCTGAACAATTTGGTATTTCAATTCACCCTGCAGGGTTACACCACTCTGCAACCAAATGACAAACTGAAAAAAAATACTTCTACCAAACATCAGAGAATAAATGGTCCTTACTTAGAAGTCTTACAAAGTGATAAAAACAAACAAACATAAGAACACAGGAAAAGGATATAAGCTGGCACACACAAAATAAGCAGCACACATTAAGCAGTAAGGTACCATTTTTTAGCTATCTAAGTAACCAAGATTTTAGAAAATCCCAATACCCTGTGTTGGCAACGATGCAGGAAAACAGACATTCTAGTTATGATACTAGAGGAAATTGGTAACAGGCTTTTGGGTGAGCAATCTGTAATATGTTTTAAAAGCTTTAGAATTTCTCAAACCCTTTGAGGCAGCAATTTCACTTCTAGGAACTTACCTAAGGAAATAATCATGCGAGCAGACACGACACCACTTTTACTTGTGAAAAAATGGAAACGTTCTAAACATATCATAACAGGAGAGCAGTTAAATATGGTATGCCCAGGTAAGGGTAATGCTATGAAGCCATTCAGTATGACAATGTAGAGTTCTTACTGCCAGAAATGTTGCCGCAAATATTAATAGTAAAGAGTAAAAAATCTTCAGTGCCACACAGCTGTCAAATCTGAGGAACGCAGTCATATATTTAAGTGAAAGAAGGTCTGAACACCACGTGCAATATGCTGTCTGCCATGTGTGTAAAAGCCGTATTTGCTTATTTATGCATAAAACATCTCTGTGAGAACAAGAAGAAATGAACGACACCAGCTAAATGCCCGTGGGAGGAGGAACTAGGTGGCTCGTGGAAACACTGCACTGGCTACTTCTTCTATTCTTTATCGATTTGAACCAATCTGAAATAGGACTTTCGAGTTAAAGAGTGAAAAAAGTTGTCTCAATATAACATAAAGAGTAGGGTCCCAATTTTAGTGGTGGTGGTGGGGTATGTTTGAGGCGGGAGATAAGAAGATGGGTAGAGAGCAAGCAAGAGACTCAAACAGGTAGACAAGCAGGGGTGTGTGACTGGAAGAGCGAGGGAGAGGGAAAGGGAGAGAGTCCAAAGCAGACAAAACTGGTGGGTCTCTGCGTGGTGTGGCTAGGAAAAATTTATTTTCTTTTGCTATTCCCCCAATAAACAAATACTAATTTTGCAAAAAGAAAATAACTTATGTAACAAAAACTACTTCCACAGCAAACTCTTGTGCTACGGCAGCTTCCATGTACGGACTCACCATGTGGACTAGCAAAGCTGGCCCCTGGTCCTATAGAGAGTCCATGCGAGGATGGGGGAGGAGTTGGAACAAATGACGCTGGTGACGGGGCTCTCAAAGCCCCACTGGGGGAGCTGGCAGCATGCAGATTTCCTAATAAACGAAAATAATTATAGATGATCTTGCAGGACACATATTATGTCCTGTCCAAGGACCCCAAGTTAAGACTCTACAGACTAAAGTACTAAGTAGTAAAGCTCCCGTAAGTAGTGCAAAGGAAAACTAGAATTTTCATTATTGAAAAAAAGAGAGATCAATTCCATGAGGCCCAAATTCCAGCTTTTATATTGGCTAATTAAAAAAAAAAAAAAAGAATCCAGTGTACACTTTATTCACCCATTCACTCATTCAACTAGGCCCGAATGTCAATTTCATGCCTAGCATTGTGCGTAGTACGCACCGGGGATTAGCAAGTTAACGATATAAAAATTCCTATTGTCATAAAACTTATATTTAGTAGAATGTGAAAGACTACAAATACATGTCATGTAGTGAGTGAGAAGTGCTGTGGAGAAAAACAGGGTGAGGTAAGGGGGCGATATTGAGCAGTGGTGGAGGTGGGTGCTGTTCTTTAGGTAAAGCAATCAGAGAAGACCTCGTGAGCTGAGAAACAAATTGAAGGAAGAGGCACGAGGGTATACGGGGCTTAAGGTATTCCAGGCAAACATCTAGTGCAAAGGATGTAAAGGATCACAGTTATAAATAACAGGGAAGGGCCCTAAATCACACTGGGACTTGTAGGCCACTCCAAGGACTTAGGGTTAACGCTGAATGAAATGGGAAACCACTGCAGTTTGCAGCTGAGGAGTCATGAACTGACTTCTGGTCCAGAAGGATCCCTCTAGTTCAGTGGTTCTCAACCTTCCTCATGCCGCGACCCTTTAATACAGTTCCTCATGTTGTGGTGACCCCCAACCATAGAATTATTTCCGTTGCTACTTCGTCACTGTAATTTTGCTACTGCTATGAATCGTAATGTAAATATCTGATATGCAAGATGTATTTTCATGGTTACACATGGAACATAATTAAAGCATAGTGATTAATCACAAAAACAATATGTAATTATATATGTGTTTTCCAATGGTCGCGACCCACAGGTTGAGAACTGCTGCTAGCTGCTGTAGGGCAGGGCCCAGGCCAGCGCAACCAGTAAGTGTAATCATCCAGGTGAGAGATGGCTAATGACCTGGGCGCCGGCAGAGGCCGATCTGGTGGGAAGTGGTTAGATTCTGGATAAATTCTAAAGATGGAGCTGGCACCATTCGGTGACTGGCTGAATGTGGGTGTGAGAGAAAGAGGGATCCAACCGGACTCTTTAACAGCTTTGGTCCAAGTAGCAGGAAGGAAGGGGTGCTCCTGCCATTCACTGAGATGGGGTGCTTGTGGCAGGAGCAATTTGGGGTGGGGAGGAGGGGTGGGTTGGTGAGTTTCAGATGTTGACTAGACAGCTAAATGGAAATGTTGGAATAGACAGCTGGAAATACAGGACTTGAATTCGGGGGTGAGGCCTAGATAGGAGATATGAAAAAACGGGAGACATGAGCTTTAAAGATGGTATTTAGCCACAGGACTCGTTTTAACTTGGGGACTATGGCTACCAAAACTACAAATAAGTGCAGCACTAACATACTTGCTACTTTACCATAACTATCCTCAATATCAAGTTTTAAATTCTCTACCTCTATGTAAGGGAATTCCACAGTTCCATGTCCTATAATACCCAGTGCAATGCCTTACATTCAACTTGATTAACCTTTGTTGTTTTACTTATTTAGCTGTGTGACCTGGACAAGTGACTACAGGATAAAGTGCTTAACACAGATTAAGTACTATACATACCTGTCTGCTATTACCTTTATTTCAAAATAATCATTTCTCCTACCGACTATGCAAAACCAGTCTCAACTCTATCCTAGAAAAACACTCTCCTGCCCTAGCTGGTGTGGCTCAATGGATAGAGTGCTGGCCTGCAGATGGAAGGATCCCGGGTTCAATTCTGGTCAAGGGTATATGCCTGGGTTGTGGGCTTGATCCCCATTAAGGGGCGTACAGGAGGCAACCAATCAATGATTCTCTCTCATCACTGATGTTTCTCTCTCTCCCTTCCTCTCTGAAATCAATAAAAATATATATATTTTTAAAAACCCTCTCCTTGGGCTCTATGCCCTGTGTCTCCCGTTTTCCTCCTTGTTCTCTTGGCCGCTCCTTCTCGGGCTGAGCCTACCCACCCACTTGGGCTTCAGTGGCCTTCAATGGCATGACAACAACTTCCAAGTCTTCATCTGTGGTCCAGGCATCTCTGATGAGCAGGCAGGCGATCATCTCCCCAAGAAAGCTGACACCTGTCTTCCTCGCTAGGCGATAAGCCCCCGAGCAGGGCTGGTCCCTGGCTCGCGGGTCAGTCCTCAGCACATGCAGCATGTGGCACAGAGCGGGTGCTCCCGCGATACCAATGAACTGCAGGTCAACAGTCAAACTTGGGCATGCTCAAGTTGCCAGCAGAGCCATTTTGCTTGGCCAAGCAGGCTGTGCACTGCCTAGCTCTGAGGGCCGGGCAAACCTTCTGTAAGGGCCGGCTGCCATGGCGGGAAAGCAGCCTCGGACAGTACGTAGATGGCGTGGCCGCATGCCAACGAAACTAACCACAAAACAGGTGGAGGGCAGGACCTGGCCCCAGGCTTCTGTGTGCCGACTTCTGACACAGATCCTGTGATTAGATTAGCACTTCTTGGAGTTGTGCCATGAGTCTGGTTCTGGGTGATAACACCTCCATTTAATTCAAACCTTTTAAAGTGCTTTGAATCATGGATTTCACAACTCTGCCATCATGAATGAATGGCAGATACGTAGCTATAGACTAGAAAGGGAGTCCTCTCTGAAGTCCAGGCTACATGCGCAGTGCTTCTGTGTGTGCACGTGTGTGTGTATTTTCGATTTAAAGGTGACACAAGAAAATAAGTACTGTCTTACCTGGAGACTGTGTGTGCATCATAGAGGGAGATGGACTAACAGTGTTGTGATAAGATGTAGGAGGTGAAGTAAGAGGGTAAGCGCCCGATGATCCTGGCTGCTTGGGAAATGGCTGAAAAGAAGAAATTTATATGTTTGTCAAACGGCCATACAACATAGCCTGAGTGCATGGCTTTCCCTAATAGACAGCTCCAGTAGTAACATTTCACACTTCATGAAAATGTACAAAATACACATCCATAACACAGGTTTTACAAAACCGCCTGACTTTTAAAAAGGCAGCATCCTCATTCCTGATCTTGCGATGCCATTGCTTACATTCCTCAAGATGGCTTTCGCTCATTTTATCTGTCATAGCTTAACAGGCAGCACATGAAAAATAATGCTTCTTTCCTTTGGTGGAGTTTTGGAGTCAATGATATATGGTAGTTCAACCTGACCTCTACTTACCTTTACCTTCATCTCCAGTAATGAAACAATGGAATCCTTTCTACTCTATATTTTTAAAAAATTGAGGTACAAATCACATATAGTAAAGAGCACAAATATTAAATGTACAGTTGGATGGATTTTTACAAACATAACTACCACATAGATGAAGATACTGAAGAGATTACCACAGAGGTTCTCAACCTGTGGGTCGCGACCCCTTTGGCGGTCGAACGACCTTTTCACAGGGGTCACCTAAGACCATCCTGCATATCAGATATTTCCATGACGATTCATAACAGTAGCAACATTACAGTTATGAAGTAGCAACGAAAATAATTTTATGGTTGGGTCACAACCTGAGGAACTGTATTAAAGGGCCAGAAGGTTGAGAGCCACTGGATTACCAGAACCCCAGAGCCCTTCCTTATACACCTTAAGTCTTTATCACCTCCCCACAGGTAAGCACTATTTTGACTTCTATTACTCAAGTTTGGTTTTGCATTTCATATAAATACTGAAAGTACTCATTATATACATGGTATCTGGCTTCTTTTGTTCAACTCTATGTCAGTGAAATGCATCATGTTGCTGCATGCAGCAATAATTTGCTTTCTCATTTCTGTAAAGTATTCCATTGTATAAATACACCCCAATTTATCTACCCACGCTACTGTTGCTAGATATTTGAGTTGTTTACAATTTTTTGGATAAATAATGTTGCTATAAATGGTGTTTTTTTGATGCATTTCTGTTGTACATATACCTAAGAGTAGAATCATTAAACCAAATGTTGCATGATGTTCAGCTTTAGGCCTCTGGAATACTGCTAAACCCCACTGCAAGCTAGCTGTACCATTTCACACAGCCTCCAGGAATGAGTCTCAGTTGCTCCGAATACCAAATGCTGGCAAGGATTGCCATTTTTCTTCGTAAAGCCACTATTGTGGCTATGGAGTATGACTGTACTACACTTTGGTTTGTATCTCTGTGATGCCAAATGACATCGATCTGGACAACCTCTGTGGTGATTAGACGGGTGACCACCTGACGTCACTTCACGTGCACAAGTCTGAGGTGAGCGCTGCTTCTGGCTATTCACTTCCCATCACTGGGAGCCTCCTCCTTGTAACCTGTATGCCTATTTTTTCCTATGGACTTCTTGGGCATCTGGGACCCACCAAGGATCTCCTTGTCTTTCAAGAAAGAAGCCCAGCCCTGGCCAGTGTGGTTCCGTTGCTTGGGCTTCGTCCGATGATCCTGTACACGGAAAGGTCACAGGTTCGATTCCTGGATCAGGACACACATCTAGGTTGCAGGTTCAGTCCCTGTTGGGGTGTGTAGGAGAGGCAACCAGTCAACTTTTCCCTCTCACATAGATGTTCTCTCTCTCCCCCCTTCTGCCTTCCTCTCTCTAAAAATAAATAAGAAATCTTAAAGGAAAGAAAGAAGCCCAGACACCTGTAGAACCTGTTAAATTAAACAAATGTGATGCCGTGTGGAATTTCAGCTCCACATTACCTGTTGCTGAGGTGGTGGCTGGAGTTGGGAGATAAGAGAATCCATCATATCTCCTCCTATGGGAGAAGGGGGATTATCGTCCTCATTTACAGACCTTCTCCGAGCATCCTGATTGCTGTCAACAAACATATTCAGGAAGGTCTATGGATATAAACAGGTAAAATTTACATTATTTTACCTAACTTTAGCCTGGTATTTTTAAATTATTTATAATATTTTAACAGAAATAAACATACCATGTCTATCTCTGAAATATAAATTTAACACATGATCACTAACACTAGAACAACCTGAAGGACATATTGATAATTTTGAAGGGGGAATATTGACGAAAATTGTTAAGCACCATAACAAAATCAACATTAAGGTTTCAGAAAATTGTATCAACTAAGAAGTACAGTGCAAGCAAAGAGTCGAACAAAGAATTACACCCTGGCACTTCTTAACAAGAGGCCAAAATATTTCCTTATTAATTCCTGAAGCAAAAATGGGGGAGGGAGAGGATCAAAACTTGTATGTTGGAAAATTTCCTACTTAGTGAGAGTTTTCACTTTTTAAGCTAGAAAATATGAGAGGAAAGCTGAATAAAGAAACTAAGCCATCTTTTCTCTTTTTTATCTAATGACTTAATCTTGAACCATCAAGAATGGGACAGCCTTGTTTATAAGATGTCATCAAAGGCTACCAGAATTTGTGTCCAGCATAGCTTTTCTTTCTTCTAATACTCTTCATCTTCCCAGTCTTTAAAAATATAGGTCATAAGAGTATCAGAATCACTCAAAAGCATTTAAAAGTACACAGTCTAGCCGAAACCGGTTTGGCTCAGTGGATAGAGCGTCGGCCTGCGGACTGAAAGGTCCCAGGTTCGATTCTGGTCAACGGCATGTGCCAGGGTTGCGGGCACATCACCAGTGGGAGATGTGCAGGAGGCAGCTGATCGATGTTTCTCTCTCATCGATGTTTCTAACTCTCTGTCTCTCTCCCTTCCTCTCTGTAGAACTCAATAAAAATATATTTAAAAAAAAAAAGTACACAGTCTAATTTCCAATTAAAGATGACGATTCACAACACATTTCATCTTCTCCCAATAATCCATATGAAGCGCTTATAAACATTTTTTAAAGCAGTAAGTCACAACGAAAAAAGAATGGGAAAAGAAAAAAATAGCAATAAACTCTGGAGGCTGCCGAGCAGATGGCTGAGTGGTAACCAACAACGTGAGGGAGCTGTATCCTAAGCAAGCAGTGGGGGAAGCCAAGAAACGAAGCTATTTCCATCTAGATCCTCAACACATGTAGGAACTGGCAGCACCAGATACCTCTGCAAATAAGGATGAAGGTGAAAAATTATCCAATCAAAATTGCTATCTAGCCATATTGTAAGAAGAGGAGGAAAGGAAGAAGGTGTTTGTGAGCAACAGCCTGGAACGAGGAAGGAGCACATAGAAAGCATTAAAAAAGAATTCAATCCTCATCTTTCACTCTGACAATCAGATAATGCCCTCAACTAAGCAGTCAACGAACAGCAATGTAAGCACCTATTTAGAGATAAGATATAAATATCAAGAGAATCAACTATGTAAGAGTTGAAAACAAGGCAGGAGAATGGCAAGAGAGGATTGCAGGGGACTAATTTTCAAAACAAGTCATTCGGAATTATCTGACTCTACGTTTTAAGTAACTGAGCTATTAGACCAGAATCTCCAAGGATTCGGGCCCAGGACCCTACATTTTAAAAAAGCACCATAGTTCTATTGGCATATCAAACCTACTCAATAATCAATGATGAAGACTACTTTTAAAGTCATAAATAGCAAATAGGAATCTCTTCAGTGGCTTCCACCTTGCCCAGCACAGTAGGGACACAAAGGGAAAGACATTTTCTCACCTTATACATAGGCACAACCCTTTAGAACTTCTAGCTCCTTCAGTCAAGTGGCAGAGATAATGCATTAACATGGCTGCTTATTAAATTTAGACAGGAATTTGTTGCTTTGCCCCATTATTTCCCCCCTCGAAGGAATTGTTTGAGATCATGTTTATGCTTATTCATGCTGTACCACTGAAGTCTGTTACCTTGAGTCCTGGTGCAGGATAAAACCCTTCAACTAACTTGCTATTATCAAAAAGACTATAGGCACCGTCCCGTATGGCCACCACGCCGCGGCTCCGGCAGTATATGTCGATGCAGTACATGTTCCTAAAGGCCAGCCTGATGTGGGTGGACGACTGCGGCAGGATGGAGAAGCACTGGTAGGCCGTGTTGGTTCTCTGGGTCAAGCCCAGCATCGGCACAGTGGGGAGTTTGTTGATGGCGTTTAACGGAGCCTGAGTATCAAACAGTACCTACAAGGAGCAGACACAGTGAGAGCAGCCAGCTTCTGTACCATGCTAAAACCTCAGGATTTTCAATGTAGAAGCATCATAAATGAGACAACATCCTTCTGATACATTCCACAAAACTTTCCCTTGAAGCGAATGCAAAGTAGATCGCTCTGTCCACTTTGAATCAAAGAAAATTCTCCAAGATAAGTGCAAGATATGAAAGACACAGATACCCACCCTCATCATTAATACTAATCGAATCTTATTTTTAAAGAGAAAATAAACTTAATTACCTGTAGTAACTGAACCACATTTGGTGTTTTGTTGAACATTTCTTGAAGCTGATGGAGAATGGTATTGTGACAGTTACTGCAACCTGAGTTTGGACCAACAGTTCCCAAAGAAATGTGGAATTTCTGATGTATCGAATTCCATTGGATACTAATCTAAAGCAAAGAGAATACATATTTCAGACACTGAGAGAGTAAAAGATTCAAGTATTGGAAAAAATGTTTAAACAGTAAGGCAAACTTCCAAAGATCTAAATTAGATCTTTTCTGAAAGCAACTCCTAAGACTGGACTCTTTACATTCTAGGCGTGCTGTTACTAAGGACCAGCACATTCACTGAGCATGTGTGTTAGATATCCCACTTCTAAATAAAACAAAGAGGGGGCGCTAAAGAAAACACTTCGATTACATTTTATTTAAAAATTACCAATGGTGTTTCTAATGTTCACTTTCCTCTTGAGCTGACGGAGAGGCACCCTCTGGTGCACACGGTCATAGAGAGAAAGGAAGCCACCCCCAACACAGATGCCTTCGTTAACAGATTGTTAAACACTCAAGTAATTTCTGATATTACTTGATTTGGAGAGTGCAGAAAGAAGCGAGCTGGCTGAATTTTCATATTGAATTTCTAGGGCTTTACATGTGAGGTAGAAAAAAACAACAAAAACCACAGCAAAAACTATGAATTATGGGGAATACCTTAAAAAGATAAGATCAAACAATGTTCATTATCACATGACCAAAAATACAGACATACCATATTGTTCAAACTCATGTGTGAACTTCACCACAGTAATCACATTGCTAAGAAGATTTAAAATCAGTTAAGAACAAAATGCAAAAACTAAAAGTATATTGTCTAAAACTCAAGATTATATACCTATCAAAGAGGGTATAATTTTTGTTTTCAATTTTAAAGAGTTAAACATTATAGTACACTATATTTGTATCAACAAAGTATTTAAATTTTACCATTTATCCCTAATTTTTACTTGAGCCTCCAATTATTTCAAGGCAGTTTTCATAATTTTTGAATTCTTGCTTTTTACAAGATTGATGAGAGGAACTTCAGTTTTAATTAATTCATACACTTACTGAGCTTCCTTTGGTGGTTCCATAACACAAGATAAGTTTTCGGTAATTATAAACACGAACTTCTGAGAAAATATTTAGATGAGCAGGTATGTCTAAATATAAAGGAAACAAAAAGGAGATTAAGATTACACATGCCAAATGAAAAATATATATTTGAAAAGGAGGATATTTTGACATATTATATGACTAGATCAAAAGATCTCTAATACGTGTAATTTAGTAAAGAAAGAAAAAAAGAAAGCAACAGCATACATAGAAAGTGGGCTTCCTTCCATTTCCATGCCTACACAAGGTGGCCTGGGCAGGGGTGGAGATATATTAAAGCAATAGCATAGTGGTCAGAGGCTTCAATTCCAGCTCTGCCATTTACTAGCTATGTGAAGTCTCTGTGACTTGTTTTCTTCATTTATAAAATGAAGCATAACTTACCCATCTCATGAGGTGATTGACTATGAGGAGTTAATACAAGCAAACTGTTTAGTACATTGTACAGCACATAGTAAACTCTCTAAGTATTAACTATTATTATATCTATACTAATAAAAGGGTAATATGCTAATTAGACCAGATAGACCAGACGTCTTCTGGACAAAGCCACGGTGGCAGGGGCTGAGGCAGAGGTGGTTACGGGCGATCAGGTCGGCAGGGGAGGGTGGTTACGGGTGATCAGGCCAGCAGGGGAGAGTGGCGCAAGCAGGCAGGCAGGCAAGAAGTTAGGAGCCAGCGGTCCCAGATTGAGAGAGGAATGTCTGACTGCGGAATCGGGCCTAAACCAGCAGTCGGACATCCCCCGAGGCATCCCGGATTGAAGAGGATGCAGGCTGGGCTGAGAGACACCTGTGCACGAATTTTGTGCACCAGGCCTCTAGTATTATTATAATATGGTATACCCATGTGTAAAAATTTCTGGAGACATAATTAACAGTGACTGTCTCTGAGGGAAGGAAACTGAAGCCTAAGTTAAAAGGGAAACTCATTTCTCATTGGATATACTTTTCTTCTTCTTTTTTTTTTTTTTAACAATAGTGCATGTTTTACTTCTTCAGTTAAAAAAGAGGGGGATGCTTTTCCCCCCAAAAGGAAGATTATCACACGTACCTGGTAGAGAACGTGCAAATTCCAACACACACTCATATAATCGTGCAATGCTATTCCAGTCATTAAGGAACATTTCAACCACTTTCCTACCACCAACGGGTTCAGACAACAGGTTTTCATATGTTAGATAAACATGCCGGGATGGTCCTACCGGATTAAAAGAGAAAATTAACAGCAATCAGTATGGAAAAAAGTCCAGAAATATACAAAGACAAAGTGTGTGAAGCATCTCACCTTGTTCCCTGGTGGAAGTGCCATTAAGCGGACAATTTGCAAACACTAGCTCTGCCACCCACGTGCGGTTATTTCTACCTTGCAATCGGAAAGTGCAATCGAGGAGAGAGCGGTCCAGAGCCTTCTGGGTTTCCTCACTTACACCCTTACAGGGAGGAATTCTGGTGAGGAAAGACAGCATATGAAGTGTACTTCCCGTCACAGAAAGACAAAAGCACAGTCTCCACAATGACAGGAGGGCATTTACATTAGAGCTTCAGTTCAAAGTCTCTACCAGGCACCTTCTGTAAAGGAAGGAGGCAACTCATAGCAATTCAAGGCAATTCATAGCATTTAACCCATTTCCATTCACTTCAACACAGGTTAGGACTCATTTTAACAAAGTGATGTTTGTTTTCATCCTTAATCTTGTTATTAGAAAAGACCACAATTCTTGAGAATGAAAAAATCAAGGATATTGACTTTCTACAAAATCTATTTAGAACATCCTCAAGGAAAAACTAAGGGGAGCAAAATACTCGTAAAGCCACTTTTGAAGGCAGAATGATACAGTGGAAAGTACAGGGAGGCGGAATCAGGGACCTGCATTTGAATTCTGACTCAGTCGCATTTAAACCCTTGGATTTCAGTTCCCAGCTACAAAATGGAGCTAAATAACTATCTCATGGTCAGTGATTTTAAAACTAATAAAGTGCTTATGGTGACTGAGACACCAGGTATTCATAGATGTCAATCCCCTTTGCAGTAAAACAAATCTTCATCACTGATTGCCATGACAGAATTCCAGGTTCATTATCATCCCCTTCGCCTCCTCTACAGAGTAACATGCACTATGATGAGCTTTAAATGTATCAATTCATTTAGCATACATGTTATTACTCACATATATTACACATACAAGAGGAATGTATGAGTTTAGTTGTCTTACCACACCTACCTATCCATTTTCTCTCAATTTTATGACTCTCTTATTTGTCATAAAACACTGAGAGGTAATCCAGTTGAGCTGTTTTTTTCAGTAATGGGTGAAATAATGAGATAATATATTCTTTAACCCTACATTATCTTGTAACTCATAGAGAAGGTGGATCAATTCTCAGACTTGGTATGATTATCAATAACTAAGGGAAAAAAACAACTATAACTGGAAACATGGGATCTTGGCTTAGGCCTCCTGTTCAGAATGGAACACCTAGAACGGGGTTTTTCAATGTTGACAATACTGACGTTTTGGGCTGGACTCCGCTGTGGAGGGCTGTCCAATGCAGCCCTGGTCTCTCCCTACCAGATGCCAGGAGCACCTCTACCCCTCTTTTAAGTTAATGATAACCGAAAGTATCTCCAAACATTGCCAAACATCTAGAGGGCAAAAGTACCCTGGGGGTGAGAACCACTGACCCTACAATAAGCAACTTGAGAGAGCAAACAAGAGACAGGAATTGCATATGGTAAACAATAAACTCTGTAGGGGGAAAGAAATCTATACAGGTTGCATAAAATTAACATAGCACTGAAATTTCCTCAATTAAAAATTCATCACAATTCTTCTTAAATGTATAGCTTTTTACATTTTTCAAAAGTGAATCCTTCATACTAGAGACCTTTTATGACTACCAGGAAGATTTTATTTGGGGTAGTTATTATAGGAATCGCATACATTGCATATATGCTTTTCTTTAATCCTCACCAAAGGACATTCTTGGAGGGAGGGAGGGAGGGAGGGAGGTACATCAATTAGCTGCCTTCAGTAGGCGCCCCGAGTGGGGATCAAACCCGCAACCTAGGTATATGCCTGGACTGAGAATCAAAATGGCAACCTTTCGGTGCACAGGATGATGCTCAACCAACTGAGCCTCTCCAGCTGGGCACACATATGCCTGCCCCTACCCTTCAAAACATAACCCTAACCCATAAGAGTTATAGAGCAACCAATGCAGAGAGATTTCTAAATCTTGATTTTGAAAATGGAAATGCAATACATTATCTTCCTTTCACATAAAATAGGTATTTCATGAAATCCATCTGGTTAGAAAATGAACACACAGAAGCCAGCACATTTTCAAGTAAGAACTAAGTAAGAATAAGACTCCTTCCAATTTATGGTCTCAGGAACAATACAACCTTGAAAATATATTCCAGGTCACTTTCTTAATCTATGACATAAGTATAATTGGCTTACCCCAAGAAACTTTGGAAAATATTTACTTGCTTTTAAGGTTATACATGTAACAGAAAGAATAAAAGTCAACTGCCTTCTTAGGCAGGAGGATTATGAGTTCTCAAAAGGGGACTGAAATTGCTTTCATAAAAATGCTGAGCATAAGATTTTTAAAACTCTTGTAAAATATGAAAACATAACTAAGAAAATAGAACACAAAAGTTAACAGCACCTACTCATCTGCAGTTGCCAAGAAGAGTGAAAAGAAAAAAATACCCTGCATTTTAAGCAGAAGTAATTCAAAACCGAATGCAATTAAATTAAGAGTACTACATTTTCCTATTGATTTCCATTGTAAGACTAGCTCTCCCGCTCCAGAAAACAACATTTCGTAGAGATGGCATGAAGATAGCCAGGAAGGGAAGCTATTCCAGTTCTTCAACGCTTTCTCTGGATCAAGCACCAGGACACGCTGAAGCATCCATCTTATATAAAAACTGCTCTTTGAAATTTTAACCCTGTATTTTGGCTTCTGTAATGCTTGCTGGCTTAAATAATAAGGAAAATAAGACCCATTTCAGAGAGGCCATTAAACCTTCCCCAGACAAAGTTATCAGTGCTGGCACCAGGCCAAGGTCTCAAAGCCCCAGCACATAGGGGCTCTTTAAGAACTTGCAAAGGGGACTGGAACAGAACCCCATATTTGGGAGACAAAGAAGGTAAAAAGGTATAAATACAAGAAACTTCCTGTGTGACGGGGCTCAGAATTTGAGAGACATTTTCCTCTGGGCCCGCATGTAATAATAATAATAGTAATAAATGTAACTCCATCTCTCTAAGCGTTGCTTGGTTCTTCTCCGGTTTTCTGTAACAAGGCAGGTGGCGTGTATGCCACTTGCTAGCCCTTCCCGTCTTCCACAGCAACAAAGTGATTCCCAAGTAACAAAAACGAAAGCCCTGCTGACTCAGATGACAGAGCTGCCATGTCTTCGCAGACAGGAATTCAACCGGTAAAAACTGCTTCTATGATTTATATGATTAAACATCTAAGAAATAATACAAATGCCAAAAAAAGAAAATGGTTTTTTTGCACGAAAAAGGTTGATCTCTCGCCCTGGCCGGTGTGGCTCAGTTGGCTGAATGTCGTCCCATGCACCGAAAGGTCTCCAGTTCATTCAAGGTCAGGGCACATACCCAGGTTGTGGGTTTGACCCCTCGTTGGTATACGTCAGGGAGGCAACTGATCAGTTTCTCTCTCTCTCCTTTCCTCTCTCTAAAAAAACACAATAAAAGTATATTTAAAAAAAGGTTCATCTCTTAAATGGTGTACTACCTTTGCAAGTCCATCCTGGTCACCTTATGAAGCACAAACAATGCATTAGCTTTCCTTTTAAGCACCCTTTGGCGCCTTGCCCTCTATGTTTAGAACCAAGCCAAGCCCTCTGCCCATCTCTCTGTACCCT